GTCAAAGTACGCCTTCTCCAGCGAGAGCACTTGGAGGTTGGCGGCAAAGAGCGTGCCGGCAAAGATGGTCGCCGCCATCGCTTGCAGCTTGGGCGCCATGAGGTAGAGATACCCGAGCCAGAGCGTCGCGCTCAGCACAATGATGAGCGTCGGGAAGATGCGGCGAACGCGGCGCTCGTAGAAGCTCGTGTACGTAAACTTGCCGCGCGCGTGCTCCTTGAAGAGGATGCCGGAAATGAGAAAGCCAGAGATGACAAAGAAGACGTCGACGCCAATGAAGCCCCCGGGAAAGAGCGTTGGGTACGCGTGGAAGACGAGTACGGGGACAACCGCCAGCGTCCGGAGACCGTCAATGTCGGGCCGGTAGACATGGGTGGGCGGGGCTGCATGGCCCTTCTTCGTCTCGGCGTCGGGCGCGTGGTCGGAGAGGAGCTGGCCGGTCGCGAGCACGTCGTCGTCGTCGTCGGCGGCGGCGAGCGATGCGCGGTGATTGACGTGCATCGTCGATCGCAAAGTACCAACCTGCCACGTAGCCAGTCAGATGCAAGTGGCGCCACCGTACGTCCGGATACTGCCAGATGATACAGCGTAACGTCAGTGCAGTGGATTCTGCCAGCAGCGTCTTTTTCAGATCGATCTGACAACCCGCTGGAGAGTCACCACCTAATACGTTCTGCAAGTGCACGCCCCTTTGTCGACGGCGACGACCACATCGGGCGCTTGCTTCTCGGATGCGACGCATGGTGGCTCCCGCTGTATTAGTGCCGGAACGGCTGCCTCCTTTTGCCGAGAAACACGCAGATATAGTCGCCGGCTCGGTATAGTGTATTCGCACATGGAAACCATTGCGGCGCGACGACAACGCCTCGTGCCACAGGAGCACATGGTTTCGATTGCTGTACCATACATGTACAGAAAGCAGGCATGGAAAGCAGGTAGAGTACCCAGTGTATGCGGACACCAGCTGCCCCAAATGGGTTTCAGGGCTGATGGCGCCAATGTTCATCAAAGCTCAAAGCCCAATAGCCCATGGTTCAGGGAAGTTTGTCCAGGGGGTTGGGGTGGTAAGGTGGTGTGTTCTACCAGTTCCGGGAAAGGGAGGAGGGCATGAACTAAATGCCAAACGCCCTTAGTCCCGGACGATCTGTTCTTGATACCTACCGGTACACGAAAGCCACTGGTCAGGGCGATGGTAGAGCCTAGGTGGGTAGAGCCACTCTGACGAATGTAAATTAGCAGACTCTCGTTCCCAGTGTTAGCCGCGATCGGTTCGAGCCTGATTCACATCCTAGCCGCCAACGTGATGGCGTGTTCGTGTCCTCGAGACAAAAGGACAGCGTGCGTTGCATATCGCACAGTGGCGCAGTTCAATGACTGGTATTTGTAGTTCGAACAGGGGTCGCTCATGATGGATTGGGGCAGTGTCTAAATGTGAGTGAGGTGATGGTAAGGCGGCGACACGCAAACAAGCGTGCAACATCATGCTCGGTCAACCCTCGTGGATCGACCATCGAACATTGATGCTCGCACACGGGTCAACTCTTGCGGCGGCTACCGCGACTCCAAGCCCGTCAATGGCGATGGCTGACTACGACCCAGTCGGTTGCCACGAATCTTGGCGATGGATTTGGGCGTCTGAACAAGGTAAAGTGAGCGAAAGCCGTGCTGCAGAATAGAAGAATACTAGTAGAAATCTTCAATCGCTTTTTCATAACACCAGCGTCCGCTCACACCGTCTTGGAATAGCAACGGTGGACGTGAATCAAGAGCCAGCAACTCAAAACTCAATTTGAGTTGCTGGCCGACATCCCGAGCCACATACGATCATCACCGTCATTTGCGATGTCAACTGTGAAAATCAAACGACGCAGTTTCAGCGTGGCGCATACAAATCCGCATACCATCAGCGGCATTCGCATAATCTGCCGTATATATACGGTAAATATCTACTACAGTGGACTCCAAAATGACATTCTGTTTCTCATTTCGGACATTTCGTGCGTAATTCGGACAAAACAGGGTTTTTTGCAATACACTGTCTCACGTCAACGGACTATAGTACGGTCAAGTAAATCGATGCGGCTCTTGGATGCAACGTTGGCGAAGCGATTTCATTTCGGATCGATCCGAATGCAACCTTGACCCTCAAGCTCCAAGTGCCAAGAGGCAACAGAGGCCAGCGCTTCCATGTCGCCGCGAACAGTGTCCTAGTGCTAGCCCACGAGGGCTTGCACTAGGTAAATGAGCAGTCTCTGACTAGAAGACGCCCCAACAATGTAGAATAAAATGCAACGAGCCGGCAACGATGGGTCCAACGCCAGCCATTTGAAATACATCAACCACCGCACTGACGCCTCGAACGACAACATCCTTGGAAGGTCCGTGCCACCAAAAGGCCTTTCTGCAGCGCTTCCTCGCGCGTGCGGGATCCAATGCGGTAAACACGACCTTGCGTTTAATGGGCCTTTAACGCGAAATTACGTGCGACCGCTTCTAGAAGGAATGCGCGGCGCAGCCACATACGCCTACATTCTCCATTTTCCATTTTCCATCGGCTTACACATCTCAAAGTATGACGAGCTCGACTAGCACGACGACGACGACGGCCCAGCCCATGGCCTGGAACGTCTCGATCCACCCGCTCAACCAGCTCCTCCACAGCGCCGACCTCGCCATCGTGGCCGCCCAGCTGGCCTCGACGCACTACGACAGCGGCGTCGACATTGGCACCTTGCCGTTCGACGAGTGGGCGAGCTACGTCGCGGCC